TCCTCAGGCCCATTTTTGTTCTATTCAACTTTCTGACATCTGAACTTCACACTTGCAGGAAATCAAACTTTTAGACTCAAAATAAGATGTATTTGTGGTACATCTTGTGATATATTCAAATACTCATGTGTGTAATCAAAATAACAACTAAACAAAACTGTACTGTGCCAACCATGGAGAAACTGAATTATCTAAAATGTTCTCGTTTGAGTTTTTCAGAAAACTTTGCTTTCACCTAAACAACACATTAGCCAATCTATCATGGTTTTAGCCCAAAATTTTATGTCAACAATTTTATATCAAAACTTATCAAAACAGTCACTACTGCACTCGAAGATCAATGAAATGTGTCACATGTGCACTATCATTCAAAAGTTTGATATCAATGGTTTAACAATCCAAAACATATACATAGTGACTAACTATGAAGCTACTACCATGCAACTTCATTAAACTGCTTTTATACTGATCTCAGTTCATTTTCATTATGGAGAATATTAAACAGTTGATGGGATCAGTGCTCTTTTGAAGACATGTTTTTTTTTGAACATCAAAATGTCTTTAGCAGAGAAAGTTTGTAAATCTCTGGTTTACACACCCCACCTCACCCTTCCCCAGGGCTAAATGACTAAACGTTCAGAGCAGCTAATTAGGCTAAATGTTTAACTTACTTTGGCTTCAGCTTTTCAATTTGTTCATCCAAAGTAATTTGGAATTCACAAGAATGCTACACCTTGTGTGTGTGGAATCGAATAAGACTGTCAGCTACTACGTTCACATGCAATAGCTTAATATTAGTCTTGCTCAGGGGTTCAGGGGGACTGCAGGTTCAAAACAAGCTGGAGCACACCTGACTCCACTAGTTTAATCAGTTGGTTTCAGCCTTTAAACTGCTGATCAGGTGGTGATTTGCTTTGTTGGAGTGAAAACATGCAGCCACACCAGCCCTTTGTGGATAAGACTGGACACTAGTCTCACTAAAATTTGGCCAAAAAAACAGCACAGTTCAACTGTAATAGTCCAACTAATGTCTTAGTTAACCTCAGATTAAAACATGATCCACGTCAATACTTGCTGCCTATTCAAGACTGTAGACGCAAGTCTTCAGACCACTCCCCAGACTTTCTCATGGAGCTTTCGCAACATTTTGCGGTGCTTTCTGCTGTACCACATGTGTGGCGACAGCTTTGAATGACAAAATGCGAAGGGGTCACAAAAGGACAAAAGGGAGGAAGAGATGCCCTCATGTTTGAAAATTTTCTCACAAATACACCATGAGATATTTAGATGGGAGTAAAAAAAGAATGCAGATTTTTTCAAACAGTGTGCACTGTGAAGGGGGCATTTCACGTTGTAGTTGAGGCCAGAAACATACTTCACTTAAGTATTCTTTACATACACATCTGCTGACTAGCAAAGCATAAACATTTATAAAATGTAAAAATTGGACTACATCTACCTGGAATAGCATTACATAGAAATTTAATTTTTATAGGGCTGCAAATGCAGAAAAAAATAATAAAATGAAGATATTTTAGCACAACAGCCCAGGGTCACCATAATGTTCAGCTCTTCAGAAAGTAATAAATGTATAAAATACTGCTTTGCAATACTGGTCAAATCTAATCATCTGTCTAATGCTCATATTCTGTACACTCTCAGAAATAAAGGTACTAAACTGTCACTGGGGCAGTACCCCTCTTGTCACTGAGGTGGTACCTTCAAGGGTACATCTCCGTACCTTTAGTCAGGGAACATAATTGTGCCATAATCCATTGAAATCATATTTTCTAAGTTGTATTGACTCCCCACACCCCGTCTCGTCTCCAGGCTTTTTATTTTATTGTTCTGTTTTAAAACATCAGATTATGAAAAGGTACAAATATGTATTTGACATCTGGGGGAAAAAAAAGTACACAACTGGACTATAAAAACACTGTTGTACCTTTGAGGACACATTTACAGTATTTGTACCTCGATAAATAAAAAAAATGTACTGTGCATGCAATTATCTGACGATACTGATATGATTTTTATATCATCATGCAACCCTATTCAAAACACATATACAGCAACAGAGCACCAGAACAACCATGTATCCACATGGACATTACAATTACAGAACTTCCCAGCGTGTCCCACAATTCATGCACACACACGCACACACAAGAGTGCTTCCATTCAAATTATACTATACAAAGAAAAAGGAGAGTTTAGCACCATTAAAAGTTCAACGGAACAACATGATAACTGTTCCACACAGTAAGATTTACTGGGTACATATCTGCCAGACAAGCTGTCGTTTAATATTGATCTAGGTCAATACTGTGTCTCACAAAGTCTAGTTACTACTAATTGCCACAAAGACACAGAAAAGTGGATTCAGAAAAAAACAGCTACACCACATAGACACACACGGCCCCACACACCCACCAGAAGCCTTTACACAGAGTCTTGCGGTTAACTGTGAATTTCAAAAGAGCAGGCTCTGAACTGTTCTTCTCCTCTCTGCGATACTCTGGTCTATTCCTCATCACATGACTCATCAAATTACCTAGCAAACAACCCATGTGAATGAAAACTCTGACTGCCATTGCTGCAAGCAAGACCAAAATAATCTGGACTGAGAGTTAGAGGGCTCATGTCCTGAAGATCTGAAGTCACTTTTACATTTTTTTTGTAATTAAAGAGCTCAGTGTAGTATGTTCACAAAGTTAAAGGTTTTAAAACGTACTATTCCCTCCTCAGCCCATATGTGGAAACTACGCTGCAAAAACAGACCATTTTAAAAACAACATTAATTAAAAACTTTATTTATAAAGCACTTTTCATACCGGTGGCAACTCAACCCTTTACAAACAGGTGATAAAGCTCAACAGTAATAGAAGAAACTATACATATTGATTTAAAATCATACAAGGCAATGACATGGATCAAATTAAAAAAGATAAATACCAAAGAGATGTAAAACGTCAATTAAACACTCTTTAAAAGAGATACATTTTCAATTGTTCTTAAAAGTGTGCACAAAGCTTGACCATCTAAATAAAGATGGAATGGAGTTTTTAGTTCATTATATCTGTGACATCACAAAAACCAACACACACATACATACAAATCACTGTTGTCAGAACAAAACCTCATATCTCCAAAATGGTAACTTTCCAGGAGAAGTCCAGTTTACTTTCCAGTTTACTTTTAATGTAAGTCAATAGGACTTACAAGTAATTTTGGGTTAAGTGTGTTGGTTGGTTTTTGTGATGTCACAGAAATTATGCATATTATGTATGTATATACATATATATACATACATACATACATACATACATACATACATATATATATATATATATATATATATATACATACATACACATACACATACATGTATACATATCTATAGATAGATAGATAGATGGATGGATGGATGGATAGATAGGTGTTCAGCCTGCACTGCTTATTGAATGCTAAAAGCACAGAGCGGTCAACATATACCTGTCTTAAAGGTACTGCAACAAAAGCAGCACGTTTATTTCAAAGGAACAGCGAGAGGTTAAACTATGGTCGTGGAGAATGGATTACTACTGTTTAAAACACAAGTGAACCTTCACAGACTGAAACTGTCGATTATGGGCCCTTTAAAGCTCATCTTCCTTCCCTTTTGAGCAAACAGCCACTGTATACTGGCAGTGACATCCTGTAGCCTTCTCCTCCCACAGTATCCTCAGAGACAAGCATGGACAGACACAACCAGCTTACAAACAGAGATCTAAGGCAGATATTGAAATTTCCCCTGAACTTTTAGATCATAATGAGTGGCATAACCAAGGCCTCCAGTATTTAACATTCACCATTTCTTGAACAGAACAACTTACTACACTTTTCTACACTCCAGAGGAAGAGACTGTCCCAAGCAGCCTGTAAAAAGCTTTTGTTTGAAATAAGGATATTTTATCTGTTGTGACAAAATACATAAAATATTAAGAGAGATAAAGGCAAAAAGGGATATTCTCTGCAAGTAAATGTAACTCTCAGAAACGTCTTGTGAGTATGCTATGGACACAATTCTTCAAATCATTTAGCTAATAACTTATTAAACCTTAACACCTTAACCAAATTCCTGGGTTTAAAGCACCATGACGAGCTCGAAAAGCATGCAAACACCAGAAAGCACGTCCCCCAACCCGGGCAAAGAGACATGTATGAACAAGAACACACTCTCACTAGCCGGGCGGTGGAGCTTCCTGGCTCTAAAATCACAAATATTCCCCACAAACGCCACTTCTAGCGTGTTTTCAGGACACTTTGCCCCAGATTACTGGATTACAACACTTCAAAACATTCAGAAATCAAACAAATCTCTGTTAACGGATTTTTGTTGACGTTACCACAACCGCGCTTATCAACACCGCATCTTCATGAGTGACAAGAGTTACAACAAATGTGTAAAAACAAACCCTAACTCGAAGAAGGTTCTGTAAGGAAATATGAGCTGCTTTTCGACTCCGAAAGGGCTGAGAGTGAGTGAAAATGTAGGCTAGCGAGCTAATCAGAGCTCCCTCACTCCCGTTCAGGCCCTTCTTGCTCTTCTCCTTCTCACAGGAAACTCTGGCCATTCCCAAAGCACACTCACTCACACACTCTCCGGGAAAAAGACGAGGCTGAAACTGGTTTCCTCTTCGTCAGCTTCTCGTTCAGATTTTTCCCGTTCCACCTTAAATGGTGCAGCAGTTACACTCTGGCTCCTCGTTTAAGGTGGAACGGGAAAATTCGCACCAGACACTGGTGGATAAGAAGCTGACTTCAGTTCAGCTTCGTCCGCGAAAGCCACTGATTTGCATTTATTCAAAAACAAGCCAAAGCACTTCCAAAACCAACGGTCTGGGACGGAGCCTCATCTACTGACTGCAACTCATAAGGCCTCCAGGAAATATGAGAAAAAAAACGTGGAAAAACTTCATTCCTCCTCAACTTTGTGTGGCAAAGGAGTCTTTACTCACCAACTCCATACTTTTCCTTTTTCGTGGGAACCCAACGCGACATTCTCATGAACAGAATAATTTAGTAAAAGTCTAAGAAGAGCCTTTGTCGTCCCTGGTATGCATCCACAGTTTCTCCTTGACTTTTTTGTGTGCTGTTTTGTTTTCACTGTTGGTGTGAGCGGACTCGTCTAGCCGCCATTTTCCATCACTAACTGGTTGCTGTGTGAGAGCGCGCGCGACAGAAACTTTTTTCCCGCCCGTATTCCGACAAAACCCGGCCCTGCTGAGCTCGGTTTGGCCAGAAAGTTCACGTTTGCCCGCAATGTACCGCTTCTGATTGGATGTCGGGTTGTTGCTAGCCAATCGGAGCGCAGAGGGGCGGTGTTGTTCCTGAATACGGGTGTGGGAAAAAAAACGCTGGTCAGTGAGCGTCACAGTAGGAGTGGAGCCCGACTGAGGGAAAAAAACACTTTATTATATTATACTGATTATGTATGTTTATCTTTCTTACTGTTCTTTTTTTGCCCAGTTACAATATAACAACTTTGCTGCTATGTTTAATGTGCAATCTAATACACAATGTGAAGTGTAAAGCACTTTCAACAGACTCCACAGATTTCTTATTTTACTATTTTTAAAGGTATGTGTCCCAGGCTTTGGTAATACAAATCAAATGCACATTTATTTATTATATATTACACTTATATTACTTATATATTACTCATACATATGTCTATGTATGTGTGTGTGTATATATGTATATATATGTTGTTATTATTATTATTATTATTATTATTATTATTATCTAACATTAAAAACTAAATTAAAAAGTTATTAGATGATGAATAATACATTGCAATAATGTATTTCAATAATTTCTTAATTTTTTTTTCTTTTTTCCCAATCTCCTACTAATTATTGATCCAATCTGTAGAGTGGTAACATCATAATATAATCATATATTTATCTGCAACATATTTTTTATTGTTATTTTTATTGAAACTTTTGAATGATGCTGTATGGTTATACATTTGGGTCAGTCATTTTGAGAATCATTTACAGCTCAATTAATCACCCTGGAAACATCATCAATCTTTATGAAACATAATTAATGGAATAAAAACATTCATTTGACACATCATGAGGACATGTTGCCAGAACATTTAGGGATAAAGTTAAGTGTGAAGCTAACTTGGTTAGGACTGGATACAGAAGAAGAAACACTGGATGAAGAAGAAGAAGTGACTTGTTCTAATATAAGACATTGGTTATAGGCTCATGCCTCAGACCTAGCAGCTGCTGAAGAGAGGGGTATTTCATAGCCAGGGCGCTGATAAGCTCTGATAAAGCATACCATGAATAGAATAACAGACAATGACATGTATTTTCTTTTCTTTTTTTATCAGCATGTCATATTTGATAAGGTTCCAACAGCTTATCGAATGGGAGAGACTATATAGCCATCCATCACCGTATAGGCTGTTATACTTCTGCGTATCAGCCTATTAAACTGTGTGATGAGAGGGCTCAGGCCTGACAGGCCTTTTTTCCTCCAGTTCTGGTAGCAGACATTAATATTCAGTATTATTTTTGCAGCCCTGGCGGATTCTCCAAAACAATTACTAATCATTACACCATAACATATCAAATTAAGATGAAAGAAGACACACACTCAAACACACATACACATACGCACATTAAAGGGGCTGAAGTGAAGTCAAGTCACACCTCTGCTTTCCTCAACCTAGTCTAGAAAGAACAGAAGGCTCCCTGCTGTGCTGGAGCCAGATTTTGTAGCGTTGCTGAAGCATAGCCAAATGCCTGAGCACATCTGAAGAAGAATGCTAAGCACCTCACTCTCACTCTACCTCAGGGTCGTGTGAACCTGTTAGCTGGTGCATTGCATAGTACAAAGGAACAGGGCAGCACACGGCACAGTACTGTTATTTATTTATTTATTTATTTTTTATTTTTTATTTTTTTCAATTTTGGTTTCACAAGACATTGTGGTTTTACAATGAGTACAATAAAACAAAAATATGTAAAGAAAAGAATGTATTTATACTAATACATAGTAAATTACTATATATTAAAAAAACAATAAATACATATAGTAAGAGCGCAGGTGGGATTTCAGTGTTTCTCCATTCACTGACAGTAAGAAGTTAGAAGGAAAATATAAAGAAAAAAGATATTTCTACATCAATGTGTGAGGCATTGGTGTTAGTCAAATGTATTTCAAGTGAAAAGAAGTCACCCAAAGATGCAAACAAAGCTGACAATGGATCAGAGCTAGTAGGGAACAATTATCCAATTTTCAAAATGCTAAAGGAGCGCAATAGCTTTTTATGAGCAATAATAGCATTTTGGGGTAAATTACTCTGTTATGAGTGACCACAAAAACAGGCCAAACACAATTGACTATTTACTTAAGATGCTATTTCAAATAAATAAATAAATGAATGAATGAATGAATGAATGAGTGAATGAATAAATGTGAAGTAAAAGATTATGAAGTACGTCACAAACTCAGGGCCTATGTGTTCTCTGGAGTTGACTTTAGGGACTTTAGGGAAAATATGTGAATGTTTTGGTCTTCATAAGTTCATAAAAACAATGAATTGTTTAACTGTTTTTTAAGCTTAGTTTCCTTATATACATAAATAGTACTTTTTGAATGGCCTTTAAAAACTTTCTCTGTCTTTTTTAATAAAAGTTTTACTGTAGTATGTTAACATTATGTTAGTTTTAACAGGCTGTTTTTGTGATATCAAGAAAATAAACACATCTGCACGTATTCACCTATTCAGCCAACAGCTGTTTAGCCCCGCCCATTCACGTGAAGTTGTAAGGAGTTTTTCAGCCCGAGCTGCTTTTTGAATGAGGCACAACACAGGACAGCCTGAGGGATAAAGACAGGTTGGAAAATGGTCATGTAAAAATTAATTATGATGAATTATAAAAATTAATTATGTTTTTGGTGCAAAAGTGGAAAAATAAAATACAGAAATTGTAGGACATGGTCCCCTTCAGGATTTACACAGATAATATTAATTAACAAGCAATATTTTTATCCAGAACTCTCAGCCTGAGACACCCTACATGATGCTTCTACATTAGTATGTTCATCTACACTGATTATACCTTGCTTTTGTTTTGCACTGGAGGTTCCTCTCCTACACCCTACAACTGTCTGCACTATTCCTGAAATGGAAACATAGTCACATAGCTCTTGCGTTGATGTTGGCTCTTGTTATAGCCGTACACTTGGCTTGTGCGTGCCTCACTTGAAAGCCATTTTGGATAAAAGTGTCTGCCAAACGAGTAACTGTAAATGTAAATGTGCTTGAGATCAGGCTTGATCTAGGTCTGGAATACAATCCCTAGATATTGATTACTTGAAACTACACAAAACCTGAACTAACTTCTCCACTCCCAGGGCACATACACACTCCAACACACATGCACACTCATATACACGCACACACATATTTGATGAGAAGGAGAGATCTCTTGAAATTTCGAATCGTGGGATGTTGATCTGAGCTGGGGCTCCTCAAAGCTCAAAGCGTGGAGCAACATCAGAGCCTAGTGAGTTCACCAGCAGCCACCCACACACCACTCACTTCATGTTTATTAATGCATCTCTCTTATCGTTCTCCCCTAATGACTGTGTGGGGAAATCTTTCCCTCCAGCACACTGTGCAAACCCTGCTCCGCAGGAATGATACTGCGCACTCACCAGTCACCAGAGGGCGCTATTAGTCTTACTCCACTGGCAGCCACCTCTGCTCCTTTCCGCCCTCTGGGCCTGGCAGGAAGTGTGCTTAACAGATATTGTTTGTGTGTTGGACTTTTGTGGGTTATTGTCAGTTACTGCATTTCCATTTTTAACTCGAGAAGAACGCCACACACAATGAGCTTTGTTATAGAGACTGAGGAAATGTACAAAAGCAGTAGCTGACTCACTGACTGGGAGACATGTGAGGCTGTTTATTTGCTTCCATCTTATCAAGCTGAAAAAAAAAAACTTCCATATGAGCTTTTATATTTAGTGTTACAGATTGAAATTGTTTAGGGAGGTTTTTGTGCTTTTAGTGAAGAACTATGACCACCGAGCTTTAGAATGCTAACCATCAAAATTCTGAACATTTTTTCTGTGAGTACTCAGACCATAAACATCCAGGAAATGTGTGCTGTAAACAGCTGCAGTTTGGGACACTGCAGAAGGACCCTTGAATAGATATTCAGTCATGTCTTGACTAATTGTACTACAGTAGCAACTGAAAGAAGAGCAGAGACATTTTAACATGCAGATTATCTTTACCAAGTCAAGAATTCATTAATTGATTTGTTTTTTTGAAAATGGTTCGTCACAGTCAGGAAAAAGGGCACTGTACAGGTACATTTTGTTCACTGAAGTACAAACAATGTATTTGCACCAATGTCCCGTTGTGAATTGTTTGCCAGTGAGTTGTTTCGCAGAGGAAAGGTGCACATTTATATTTTAAAATGGAAAAATAAAAGGCCTGGAGCTTAGACAGGGTGTTTGGAGTCAGTGCAACTGAAAAAATAATCACAGCAGAATATGGTACAGTTATATTCCCTAATTAAAGGAACTGAAGTAGCACCCTTGAGATTATTATCTCAGTGACATGAGGGTTACCACCCCAGTAACAGTTTAGTAACTTTATTTCTGAGAGTTCTGTTTTCTTTAGTAAAGGCAATGATTATCTATAGAACTGTGAACTCATTTGAATGCATACATTGCTCATTGCATGGTTAAATGGTTCTTCTTTATGATGGAAAGCCTGTTGTATGGAGCTGCTCAGAGAACCTTTTTTCTTTTAAAAATGCTATTTGTTTGTTACATGCCGTAGAATATTTTTTTGGTATCATATAAAACCCTTTTTGCTGAGGGTGAATTTAGAATCCTTTAGCTTTAGATTTCCACGGATTAGGCCAGAGGTTCCCAACCTTGGTCCTGGACTCTATGTCCTTGACTTTCTCTGGCCTGGCATGCTTGATTAAACAGATCATCTAACAAATCCTTCTTGAGTTCAAGTGAGTGTGTTAGAGCATGTAAATTCTAAACTGCACAGAACGTATATACAGAACACAATCCCTGGCATATATATTCAAAGGAAAATCCTTAACTGAACCTTTACCTTATGCGGAGGTCTTTAAAGATATATGATCATGGTTGGGAACTGCTGTATTAGGCTATTAATAAGTCTTAATTTTTAGTACTATGGTTTGGTCAGTGGTACAGGAGTGCCATGGTGTACTCCTAGAGGATCTGGGGTCATATTTGCCCCTAAAAATACAGTACCAGGAGACATACAGACGTATCTAACATTTTCCTTTCATTATTTTTTTTGTTTTGTTTTTTTCTCTCCATGATTCTTGTTCATATGACCATTTCACATATTCCCACTATGGTATTAAACAGGCTGTTTAATATGTGTATTACATGTGTAAATTCCTATCTTCTGATTGGCCCTGTATTGTGCCTTTTTCAAAAAAGCAGCCCAGGCTTATAACTTCAGTGTGAACCAGCAGGGCTAAAGTGCTGTAGACTGAATAGATAGGTTATGTAGATGTGTTGGTTTTTGCGACATCACAAATACGATGAACTCAAAACAGGCCTAGTTTTTCATATGTGGGCTGCATGGACCGGGGACCGAATGGTGCACCTTTGAAACTTTCAAACACTGTTTACATACTACATCAGACTCTTTCATTTCAAATGGTTAGGAAAGTTTTCCATGAGTTGGGTCCTTTAAATGTTGAAGTACCCTGGAGTGTAAGATAAGAATTGGCAATACTTTGTTCTAAAAATGAAATGCTTTCCTCAAAGCCAGTCAACTTGTTCCGAACAGATAAAGTGTTTACAGAGACATTGTGACACCACACCAGTGGCCTCACCCTAAAGGCACTGAGTATTTTAGCGTGTAACATTCGTTAGAGCGAGTCTTAAGAAACATCATGTGGATGATCCGGACAGCAACAGAAACAAACTGCTCCTCTCATACGCAGCCCAATGGCTCTTTTCAGCTCAGAGAGTGAGGAATCACATGGCAAGGTTCGAGCCCTGGGCCATGTCTTCTGTCCTCATGCACTCAGGTCCACACACAGACACAGATGATTGGAATCTTTCTTCTTTCTGGGTCACCCACTGGACAAACAAACTAATTTAGAAATGAGTTTGGTGGCTGATTGCCTACATGTATTGATTTTCTGGGCATTTTTGAGAGATTAAACTCTGATTAAATTCTTTGCCGTTGTTCAGATGGGTAATGTAGGTGAAAGTGTCATGGCTCAAATTCTGTGTGACTTGAACATTTATGCAGTATGAAACACCTATTTATCATCTCTGTCTTAACAGAATCTTCTGTCATGGAAATATAATTTATGGTAAACTTTGATATACAGCAAAAGTCAGAGACTTCCCTTTATTTATTTAATTTCTGGTCAAAATGGCCATTAAGTATGTAATTCATTTTTTAGCATCCAGGGGCAAAAAAGCAGAAAGCAAATTTTTAACAGAAAGTTACAGAGAAGCCTCAAAACTAAATATAATATACATTTTTAGTGTGTTCTACCCTTTACCCTTTGCCTTTATTAGAGCTTCCATTCTTTTTAGGAGACTTGCTTTCAGTTTTTCAAACAAATGAGCAGGGATATTTTTCCACACTTCCAAAGTTCAATCTTAGAAGTTGGTTGCATTCTCACTATCCAAATAATCTCCAACACATTGAATGATGTTGAGGTCTCGACCCTGGGATGGCTTGGTAAGGGCTTCCTGACAGCTACATATGCTTTCAGACCCAAAGTGTTGAGGTGGCTTCTCACACCTGTGGATTTTTTCAGATCTGATCTGCAAGAGTGGAGCTTGATTTTCTGAAAGTTTTAAGTACGCTCTTAGTAAAGATGGTTCTTTGAGGGTTCTTTAGTGAAGAAAATGGTTCATGAACACTCAAAGAACCCTTTGTATGATTAAAGAGTTCTTTGTATCATGTAAGGGTTCTTCACATTGATGGAGAACATGCTGTAGATGAGATTTTTGAAAAAGGTTCTACATAGCACCCGAAAAGGTTCTTCTATTGTTACAAGCCTGACATTGTAAAAAAAATATATAAGTAATAATAGAAGAACCCTTTTGGGTGCTATCTAGAACCATTCTATAGCACATTCTTAAGAACCCTTTCATGATGCAAGAACCCATTAATCATACCAAGTATTCTTTGAGTGTTCATGGTTCTTTATAGAAACATTTTCTTTACTAAAGAACTCTCGAAGAACCATCGTTTTTTGAGAGTGTGCTGCTAATATGCGTTTTGGTGGCCTACCTGGTCATGCATGGTTGTTAGGATATCTTTAAATAAGTTTTGAAAACATCTGTTGTTTTCACATTGAATTTCCCCTTCCTTACGCAAGTGGATTATCTTATCTATCCCATCTCTTCATGAATATTTCCTGGAAAATGAATAACATTAATGGCCATTTTTACTAGAAGTTAAATTAACAAATGACTCTCTGACTTTTGCACAGTACTGTACAGTAATGTAATTAGCATCCAAGGGATAATGGATAATATTCCTTATCCTCAAGATTAATCATAATAATGTGTTTAAATTGAGAGATTTGGTCCATTTTTATTGGTCTATTCATCATGAAATGTTCAAGAGGCCAGCTGGCATTTTTATGTGATGTAAAAAAAAGAGCTTTTTATATGACATCAGCAATATATTTGTTTCAAATTTGCTTTTTGGCCATAAATTATAATGGTTCTCTTATTTCAGATGCAGTTTTTTGGAATGCTCAAATTTCAAGTTTAAAGTTTATTTATCATTTGCACAACATCAGGATATTCATGCATTGAAATGCTTGTGGTGTAATATAAATATACACACAATATACACAAAATATAGAGACAGGAGGGACCTATGTGAGGAAAGGGAAAAAAACCCTCTCTGCTATGTACAAATATATTTATATTTAAATATATTTGTATATTTACATTTATAAATATATTTATATATTAATATTAAACAAGGTGATCTCCACCTTTCTGACCTTTCTACTTTATGTGTTTGTGTTATTGTGAAGTATTTCTCTCCAATTTTATCGTTAGACGAGTCTTGATGCCACTCTTATATTCTAAATAGAACTGTCAGCTGAGTGTCTTTCTTGTGGCCATGCGCCTGTAAATCCCTCACCATGTTCTTGTCTGTAAACACAATAGGGAGTCCAAAAGCGAAGCCCATCAGAGAAGGAAACACAAAAACACCTTGGAGCCAAAATGTTGAAGTTGGGGTAAAAAAGGAGCTGGTTGGCTGCGGACAGAAACATGCAACTTTCTCCCTGTGGTGGATGTTCAGCTTTTCTGTAAGTCTTTTGTTCATTCAGAGCGACATGCACAGTTATATTCATGCTTGACTGGAGACAGCACCACCAGCAGCTTTTCTTCAGAGAGACAGAGGGAGAGTGAGAGAGTGTCGGAGGAAGAGAGGGATGTACTCCTTAATAGTTCCACTAAGGGAGTTTTGGGGCTGTTAGATGCTTCTATTCCACTGAATAATGTTTGAGATTGCTCTGCTCTCTGCGGAACAAGGCTTTCAGGTAAACAAAATTCTCTTGGCAGTACCAGCTACTCTCACATGTATTCATTATTCAGTTTAGGTGCTTTTTTTAGTGTGATAATGAGAATTCTTTATTCTGTGCAACTTCTGAATACATGTTTTGTGGAACATATCTATAGCAGATGTGTTTTGAGCCAGGTTATTCTGAACTACTAAGAAAATCTAGAAAAGGAACACTTTATTGTTCCCTGGTGGGAAACTGAGGTGCTAATGATGCTCTCCAGAGTAAAAAAGTAAATATGATTTCTTAAACATGACAACGGTAAATAAGTAAAATCAAGCAAAAATGACATAAAACTGGCATAAACAGGATTCAAACAAATATCTAAATGTTTTTTCTCCCTTTCTTTGCTTCTCAGCGGTTTTGGCATTTCAGTTCAAGGCATTTGTTTGGGCTAAAGGCAGGATTTTTTTATGTTCCAGGCGGTTACCAGGGCAGCGGTAGAGAAGGGTATTTAATTCTGAATGTGTGAGTCCGTGTGAGGGTCGCCATGGATGTGAAATCTGAGAGCTGGCAACGGCCACCTAAGCTCAGGCAGGATGGCACCTCTCACCTGCGCAGGACCCCAGAGTGGAGGAGATCTGGAGATGAGAGCTACTGGGAGGGCCAGGTGGCACAGGCAGATAGGCCTCCTCGTGCAGCTCGTCCACAGAGCTGTATCGAAGGCAGGCTGATGGATGACTGGCTTCAAACTCTTGAGATGCTACAGGCTCACCCTGTTCAACAGCAGGTCCCCGCATTTGTCGACAGAACTGCATCGATGCCTGTTCTTCCAAGCAAGATGATCACTGGATCCCTAAACTACTCAAGTTATCCATACTTCCAGAAAAGGGAGTGGACCCCCAGTATGAGCCCCAGCCCTGGAGACAGCTCTCTGGACAGTCTGGACTCACTGGACTCTCAGTCTGGACTAGATACCCAACATAAGGCTCAAATTAAGATGGCACCCAGTGCTCAGAAGGCCAAACTGTGCCGCCTCGCTCCGGTCAGGATCGGCTGGCTTCCCCTACAGAGACACGTTGTAATGACGAGCAGCCCGAACACTGCCCATCACCATGGTAACACCAGTCAGGTAAGAGCTATGGTGTAGAATGAAGCTACAGATCTATGGATTATGTGACTGCACTCTTATTAGTAATACATAGGGATGCATGATCGAAATCGGCTGAGATTGGAATAGGCTGACTTTTTGCTCCAAACATGCTAACAGCAAATGATCACTTCATTATTTTGATTTTGGCCAATTTGTGTTGCAGTTTTATGATGTAAATGACATGAGGCAGTTAAGTGCACTCATGATGCTGCTACACTGTAAAACATAATAATTGCACTAACCTTTTTGGTTGGTTTACTTTACTTATTTGTTAAATTACCGATACAAATGTAGTTACACATACAATTTCTTGTATAATCTTTAGTTACTAGTCACTAAATCTAGTTAAGATCTGTAAATATAGGTCTAATTTGAGTGAAATTTACCTCAGATTGATGGAGAATGTGTTGTATATGGTTCAATATAGAAGGTTTTTAAAAAGGGTTCTTCATAGCACCAAAAAAGGTTCTTCTATTGTTTCAAGCTTGACATCGTAACCATAGTGTAACCCTTTTTGGTGCTGTATAGAACCATATACAACACATTCTCCATTAACCTGAAGAACCATTTCACCATGCAATAAACCATTTCACCATGCAAAGGGTTTTTTGAGTGTTCAGGTTCTAGAACCACTGTCTTTACTAAAGAACCTTTGAAGAATCACCTTTTTTAAGAGTGTAGAACCACATTATAAAATGAAGCTCTGTGATGATGCTAGGCGGTGTGCCCCTGCATTGCTACAAAGCTTTATAATTTATGTTTAATGCTTTAGAAAGCATGATATTTGTTTGATTACTTTAGGACCTAAAACTGGGCCTTTTACAATGCAAGTCTGACAAGTTTGCAGTAAACACAGAAGCCCTGAAATGATAGTTCATCAAAATTGAACTCAAACGCATGTTAGCCTATACATGTTTGCTTCTATAGTTTTGTACTGGAGCTGCAAGGCTACTGTAGCTAACAAGGAATGGAAGCTTATAAACACAGATTTGCTTTGTGCAAAGTGAATGCCTAAATCATCTCACACTTGTTGGGGTGTAAGCATCTATTGTCTGCCGCTGCATTCGCTCCAGTGCAAAGCTAAAGGAGCAAACTTTGGACACCAAACGTGTCTTGGCTGATTACGTTTGGGACAGGTAGAAAATCGTGTAAACATTTCAACTCAAAAAATGCACCCAGTCCTGTCAGCAGCCCTCCTCTTCTTCCCTCTGTTTGTGTCTCTGTTACACCCCCATACTGCAAAATAGCCTCCACTCTGCTCTACAGAGAGAAAGATTCTAAATAAATCACGCTCCCACTCCACTCAGGTTTGATTTAACACCGCCTGTATAGTTCTCTCAATCAAGGAGAGAGGAGAAGAGAAAGAAATGTGTAGAGATGAAAGGGAGGAAAAAAAAGAGAGCAGATGATGGCAAAGGCAAATGAGAAAAATGGAGAGGGAGTGAAAAAGAAATCAAATATATCTGGCAAACAAGCAAATGTAGCGAGTGTCTGGAATAAAAGAGCTGAGTCAGCTCGGAACAGGTAGAAGAGCCATTAGGTCCAGTTGCAGCCAACACTACAACATCAAACACCACAGAGCAGACGAAGCGAGCCAAGCGGCCACAGTGGAACTGCACAGGTGTGCGGCTGACCTGTTAGTTTAGAGGTTCACTCACATACTTAAAAAGCAATTACTAAAGCCAAATTCATGCTTTTAGGACACTTTACTCAAAGCCCAAAACACAATTTGTTTTGTAAACAACACATTTTGCCTCCAGAATGCCTGAAGACACCTGGTACCTTTGACCAAAACAAAGTAATCAAAGCAAAAAAATGTAATAGTTCAGTACATTCGCAAGTTTACTTGGTCATTGTCCAAAGAAAAACTCAACCAAAACATCGTTAACATTCATATCACATATCAGCACCACAAGACACCAGGCCCAGAGGTGGGTAGAGTAGTCTAGACCCAAACTCAAGTAAAAGTATTAATACCTGAATAAAATTTTGACTCAAGTAAAGTAAAAGTACACACTTAAAAATGATGGTTCTTCAAGGGTTCTTTAGTAAAGAAAATAGTTCTATATACAACCGTGAACACTCAAAGAACCTTGTGCATGATTAATTGATTCCTTGCATTGTGAAAGGGTTCTTCTATTGTTAAAAGCTCATAACAATAGAAGAAACCTTTTTGGTGCTACATAGAACCCTTTTTATAAAGGTTCCATATGCAACACATTTGCCATCAATCTAAAGAACCCCTTCACAATGCAAAGAACGCTTTAATCATGCAAAGGGTTCTTTGAATGTTCATGGATCTATGTAGAACTATTTTCTTAACTTAAGAACCGTAGAAGTGGAAGTATAAACATATCAGGTCAGAGTATAAAGAATAAACATATTAGGTCAAAAACTACTTAAGTACTGAATAACTTATTTAACTGCAGTGGAACTACTTAGTAAATCCAGCATCTATGTAAGTATGTTAGCATCTAGTTTGTTAGACTTTATTCTTCTCGTATTGGGATTCTTTTGGTCTATAATAAAAGGCTAAAGCTCCAGGTCAGAGGTGACCAATCTCAAAGCAGTGCAGATGTTGTCATCAACAAGACATAGTGAAACTAAACACAGAAATTAATTAGTAACTAGATATGAATTGCTAAAATGTAACTGAGCCAAAAGTACTCCTTTACTCAGTGATATACATGAGTAGAAGTAAAGTATAATCATTTGTACTCAGAAGAGTACAAATCAATATTTTACTGAAGTACATATACGTGAGTAAATGTAACTAGTTACTACTCACCTCTGACCAAGTCTACATATCACACATCAGCACCACAAGACAACAGACAACGGGCCCAGAGGTGGGTGGAATAGTCTAAACCCACACACAGATGTGAAAAATATACTGGTAAAGCACGCTAACATGTAACAATGTGCGCAGTACTTGTTTACTTATAGTTTAGACTATAAACAATGCTTTGAGTTTTTGTATACATTTCCTGTGGTTTGGCATAATTTCTTAGAAATAGTATCACTTCATTCATATTCTGTTGCAGTACTGTTTAGTTTGGTTTCATTTTCAGATGCAATACTCTGCCTGCAAGCACACTGTGAGCACACCAAGGGAAGACTTGGGTTTAGAGCAGGGCTGTAGTCAAGACCACCTTTATCCAGTCCAACACAGTTCCAAGAAGATGACTAGTAGACAAATGAGATTGAGTTTGAACCAAAATTGAGACCCCCCCCCGACGAAAAAAAGGCCTATTTGAGGTCAAGCCTTAACTTCTTTAACTGCTTCCAATACACATTTCTTTGTCTTTTCATATTGTTTGGTGGTAAAAGTCACACATTCACTTGAGACAGCAGACTTTGAATTTTAGTGTTTAGTGTTCATTTTCCTGGACTGTTCAAATAAACTACAAATTTGAAAAAACAAATAAATCTAATTTTTTAAAGCAGTACTTGGTCTCAAACGAGAGATTAAAAATGGCAATACCAATTGTGAGATTAAGACTGTCTGAAAACAAATACTGTCCAAGGCAAATCCGAGACAATAGAAACAACATCTCAAGTCCTGACTCAAGAATGAGATCTGAGTCAAGTACTACAGCACTAGTTTAGAGTTTAGGTCTAAACACTTACCACCAGACTGCAGGCCACCATCCGCTACTAACATAAATAAGTGATAAACCACTTCTTAAACTGTGCTTAACTGTCTGAATGTTATAGGACTGTAGTTCTAGGATTGTATCTTCTTTCAGGTGAAACTGAAGCCTCCCATCACGCCTGTATTAAGCAGCAGTTCTGTCAAAGCACCTGGATCAGAATCAGGAGGTAGGCACCATCAAAGCTCTTTAACTGTAAAACATGAATAGCATTGAAACACATTGAATGACTGAAGCCATAAGAAACTATAAATGTCTGTAATAAGGCTTAACTTTTTTCTTAACACCTCCACATTATGCTGTGATCTCGGTGTTAAATATATCTCACCACAAACCTCAACCACAATGTGAAAAAGATTTGCTGTTCTGTCTGAAAAGTGAGTTAATAAAAATTTATGGTCAAAACTTCCAATAGTGATAGAATACAAAAGCAGTACTACAAGTACTGAAATATTTCGAACACTTCATGGAAAATGATTGGCATGGTTGATTTGAAAGGCTTGTCATAAATTCAATTATGCAGGACGTTTTAGGCATATTTAGTCTGACAGAGAGAGAGAGACAGAGACAAAGAGATAAATATGCTCTGAGCGCAGATTTTTTTGTGAATGAGCTGTTATGGGGAATAAAGCTCAAATCAAGGGGCTCAGTGTAGCATGTGTGACAGCAGCAAGCTTGATTTTTCTCTCTTGTGCATTCAAAACTGGCAGCCGGTGTGCTCTATGCAGGTTTAGATGATTATAATGACTAATTCATTTCAGCTTGTACACAGTGATTTGTGTGCAGGGTTACACTTTTAACTGACAGTAGGTGTACTTATATGAGGTTCTGAACACTGCAGAGCTGAGTCCTGTTTCAGTAGTTTTCATTATGCGCTTGCCAGCTTTGACTTACTGCTCATATCCCATACTATACAAGTTGTTAGTTGTGGTAGAAGGGGAGGTGGGACAACAAGCACCAGATTATTCAGTCAGAACACACTCACCCAGCTAGGTTAGCCTCAGTGTGCTAATTGAATAGCCATGCAAACATTGTAATGCAAAATGTCTGAACAGAGCATATATAAAATGTGTGAATGATTGTCTACCTATAAGTTTTGATGTAGAACTGTGGTGTATTGCTGCTTTTTTGTCATTAGCTGTGTAGCTTTAGCTTGCTAAATAGCATGCCAGCGGAATAAAGTGATGAAGTTGTATCAGCTGTCATTTATAACAGATGGAGCACACTCTTGAAAAAGATGGCTCTTAAAAGGTCCTTTAGTAAAGGGAATGTTTCTATTTAGAACCATGAATTCTAAACAGAACCATTTCACGCTTAATTGGTTTGTCAGATTGATAGAGAATATGTTGTTTATGGTTCCATATTCAGTATTTTTAAAAAGGTTCTGCAGAAAACCATACACAACATGTTCACCATCATTCCGAAGAACTAGTTCACCATGCAAAGATCCATTTAAGCATGTAGTCCTATATAAAGCTCATGGTTCTGAAGAGAACCATTCCCTTTACTAAAGAACCCAGGTAGAACCATCTTTTTTAAGAGTGTAGTTTGCAACCTAAAGCCCAGCAAATTGAATGTGATGGTTTAGTTTACTGCTGGATAATTAACAGCCTTGTTTACTGTTTTTTGGGGTTTGAAAAGGGAACTGCTTCAGTCCCCGTGTCAGGAGGTTGTGTAGAGGGGGGAATGCCAGACCATCCAATCATCATGCCCCACTACTTTGTGTTCATTTTCCTATAACGACAGGCAGCAACAAACACAGTCTAAGGACATGCAACCAGGCCAGTTGGACACCCTTAATTGCCCTTAGGTATGAGTGTGTGTGTGTGTGAATGTGTATGTCTGTCTATCTGCCCTGCAAAGGACTTGCAACCTGTCCAGGCTGTTTCTTGCCTTCTGCCCAATAAACGCTGGGATAGGCTCCAGCACTCCCCATGACCCAGAAGAATGGGCAGCTTAGAAGATGGATGGACTTGCTTAGATGTCATTTTTGCGGCGTAAAAGGCTACGGTTTTTATATGCATCACTCCATATCAACTGTATTTCAGGGGTGTGCTGTATGTTGTGTGAAGGTATATCAGTAGACATATTTCTTTAATGAGTAGGTATGGTGATGGGCTGTAAATGTGGTTCTCCTGTTGATGCTCTCTTGAATGTGGAGCTCCTCTGGACAGATTTACTATTCTGTGAAGTTTACACTGCACCCACCCATTCCCCCAGCCCCCCTGCCCCACTGTGGTTTTCGGGTGCCAGGCTAATGATTTAATTCTGGTGCTGGACCTGCTGAGGTCTCATCCAGTGAACTTTACTTGAGCTAATAAAGTAATGGAACAGCCCTTAATGTGGGGCTGGGATTCCCCTGAGAGTAAATGGTGAGGCCAAGCGGACGAGGGCTTGTTAAAATGGGTATTGAAACGGTCAGTTGAAGTTCCAGGCTGCTGTTTTTAATGTGAAGGTGCTCTCCTTGGTTTTCATGTAGAAGCTTTCCGGTTTGAGGGTGGTAGACTCGGTGTCACACACATGGACGCTCTTTAATCACAGTGATAAGAAGCACAGCAGCTGCTGGTTACCGTGGCACTTATGTTCAAGTGTTTACTGTGGAAATGAAGATCGCTAATGCATCAAGGCCTCCCCTTCTCTCTCCCCCTCTCTCTCCATATGGTAGTTTACACTGTCAGATGAGAGGAGTGTGTTGATCTGTGTGTGTGTGCGTGTGTGTGTGTGAGCGTGTATTCGGGTACTTACTCAGCTCTCCAAGCATAAGCAGTGTCATTAAGTCATGATGAGCGGCTAATGGCTAATGTAGCGATGATTAGAGCAGGCTGCCTCTGTCACTCAGGAGCACTCGAGGTTGCCAGGTCTTCTTCTTTTTAAGCCTCCAGAACCTTCCCTCCCTCAACCCTGAGGAGAAGCAAATCACCCGAGCCCCAGTGGGCCGAGTAAGCAACACCTGAACTATTGACACAAGTCCAAGAAATCAGTATGGACAGGGGAGCTGTTTTCCTCATGCCTGTGGGCTGTTTGACTGTCGAGTGTTCACTAATGCAAGCAATGATTTCTGTATTGGAAACAACAACAACAACAATCCACAGTTCACCTGCCAGCTGAACTGTCAATCAATGACAGGGTCATGTCACCATGGTGACTGGGACCTTGTGCAGTCCATCATTCAGAGGTGCACAGCAAACGACTGTCTCACATCTGTCAGGGGAAAAGTGCTCCCTCTTTTGTCCTCTCCATCTTTCTGTCCATCTTTCTCTCCCTCTCTTATCTCTCTCTTTCACTCCGTCTCTTTCTTCTGTCTCTTTTTTTTTGCTTGCTCCCTTTCTGCTCTCTTCCGCCATATTTCTGTTTCTTTCACTTTTTTACTCTTTCTCCTACTGCCTTGTTCTCTCTCTCTTCCTCCCTGTCTTTCTCGTTTCTTTATCTTATCCCCCTTTCTTGCCCCGCCCTCTCGTTCTCTCTCTCCCCCTCTCTCTTTCTCTCTCTATTTTTCTGTCTTTCTCTTTATATCACACTGTTTCTCAATTTATTCTCCCCTTTTCTCTTTCTCCTCTCTCCCCTTTTCTATCTCTCTGTTTATTTCTTTATATTTCTCTCATTGTGTATTTTTAATATATTTTTCTTGGTCTCTCTCTTTTTTCTCTCACCATCGATCTTGCCTCCAATTCTTGCCCCTCTTTCGTTCTCTCTCACCTCCCTACCACCCATTCTCCCCCCACCCTCTTTCTTGCCTGTGTGGCCCTTTCTCCTCCTCTCCGTCTCTGCCTCCACCTGGCAGTTCAGTTTAAGTGTACACATACTCATTTCTCATGTCCTCTCCTTGTTGTACCTGAGTGTGATGATGCAATGCTGGTTTGGTGAGCATAAGCATGTGCTCTGTTTTCTGTGTAAACAGACACAGTGTGAGAGGGAAGGTGAGAGGAGTCAATAGGAGCTCTTTTAGTTCTCACACACAGAGAAAATGAAATGGCTCTTTAATCCTGTACACGCTCAGCTAAGCTGACGGGGCCTTCCCTATACTCTCACACACAGACAGGCCAGCTGAGTGGAGAGGAGTTGGAGTATCTTCTGGAGTCCAGCGGCCTTGGAGGATCCCTGAACACAGCTCTACACAGGTAATTACACCAAAACATTCTCCACCCCAGCCTCGGAGACTGCTTCCACAGTCATTTTTCTGTTTACTCTGCTAACCTTTTCTGTTCTTAATGTTTTTACACTATATGGAAATGCCAGCTGCCCTTGACGTTGTGTGAACATGATGAATGGACCAACATAAATAAATACCCACATCATTAGACCAATAGAAAGTCTTGCCACATCAACTTACTTTTTCTAGAAAGTTACCATTTTAGAGATACAAGATTTTGTTCTGACAGCAACAAATTGTAAATTGTGTTGTGACAAAATGTCAAGACAAATATTTAACACAAGCGAAAGTATTTGGTGAATGAATGTGTTTCTGATTCCAGAGCAAAGGAAACACAAGATGGTGCCGCAGTTTGAGAATGCTATTCTAAAACAGTGTTTCCCAGCTGTAGCCCTGGAGCTTTTCTTGCACTGCATAGTTTTGTATTTTCTGAGCTTTAACACATCTCCGTTAGCTAATTATCAACCTTATTGTGAGCTGAACCAAATGTGTTAGAGCAGAATGAATGTTATGCAGTGGAGGAGGGTCCCCAACACAAAAAGTATGTGTAAAAAAGTACTATATTGAAAATATATTGCAATCTGTTGTATGTATATTTTGAAATACTGTATACTGACACCACATATCCACATGTTGCATTTTCAGAGGAGAGAACTTGAGCTGTAGAATATCAAAGTAAACATTTGTTTGTAGTGTGAAAAGGGGTTATGAGACTTTTTCAGAGATTCCACCTGCAGCCTTTTTCTCTTAAAAGCCCTATTGTAATGACATGTAATAGGTTGAAAACAGTGGCTTACGTTTATCCAATTTCTTAATTCAAATCAATGCTGTTACAGGCTGAAAAGTCTTGCTCATGTGTAATCAGTTCACATAAATACAGGAATCTGAGTGTGTCTGACATTCATTTTCAAGTTTAGAATCACCATTCAAAATTTTGGCATCACTGTTTTAATTATATAAAACTAATTAGTTAAAGATAGAGAAAAACTGTGAAGATGGAAAGCTGTGAAGAAAGGAGAAACTTTAGTTGTGTGCATGAACAGACATATAGATGATTCTCTAGTGGCTAAGAAAGCTGTATAGTATTGAGAATAAAGTTATACTAAAATTGACATCCACAAGGCCAATAACTTGTCAAGGAATTACTATTAACACTGTAATAGTAATTACAGTGAATTATTTATCCATTAATAACATCTTGATGTTTCCTAAGAACTTGGAAAACTGAATAAAACATATTGAAATAACTTGCAGCTCATAGTATTTCAAGCTGCACTGTGAGTTACTATAGAATATATTATATCGCAGCTGTAGAAACAAAACCTCGTATCTCCATTTTTGTTGTTTTTCAGTTTTTGACCTCATTTGAAAATGCCTGTGGCCCTTTACATAGTGTGTTAATTCCACGATGAACGGACCAACAGAAATGGCCCAAAATCACCTGGAAAATGTCTGGTCCCATTGACTTACATTAAAAGTAAAGTGTGTATTTTCCATCTCCTGTAAAGTTACCATTTTGGAGATATGAGGTTTTGTTCCAACAACAGCGATATGTAAAAATAAGTGTGGTGCCCTTCTCTCATTCCTTGGAAAATATAAAGCATCTTACAAATATAAAGACATTGCTTTTTCAAGTGTGAACTTTATTAAAGTAATTATCATAGATCTCAGACCAAGAATGTTGTAACCTTTAGGAAGGAGAGATGGATTATGACTACAATTCCTTCTTAAAGTTCCCTGATGCATAATTACAGAAGCTGTACTGGTATTCTGAGCCTCCTGAAGGCAAGAGCTGATTGCATTCTTACTCAGAGAAACCTGATTAAGACAGACTAATACAGGCTTGTGCTGCGTTCACCATTTTGTCTCTTCATCGCGTTGGTTCACTGCTGGACATCAGCAGTGTCAGGTTACTATGTGCGATTCAGTTTCTCTCTCTCTCTCTCTCTCTCTCTCTCTCTGCTCTCTCTCTGCACACACTCTCACTCTTAGAGCATGGGTGTGTGTGTGTTTGGCATGTTTTCTGTTTATTCTGATGATGGGAATTCATTCTTTCTTTCTTTCTTTCTTTCTTTCTTTCTTTCTTTTTTCTTTCTTTCTTTCTTTCTTTCTTTCACACTGGCCCTCTCTCTTCTTATTCCCTTGGTCTATCCCTCACTATAAAACATGCTCTGTGGAGAAGAGAGGAGAGCAAAGGGTCCGGGAGAGAAAGGGACAGATAGGGTGAGCCTAGCTTGTGGAGAGAGAGAGGATTAAAGTGAAGAGAGAAAGAGGAAGAGGAGTCAGAGATGAAGGTATGATGATAGACTGAGACTGGGCACTGGGGGAGAGGAGTTGGACATCTGATATTTGAAGAAACTCAGAATTCTGCAGATGATGGACAGCCATGATTTCTTTTCTCTTTCTCAGCGCAATGTGGTTTCAGGGAAGCGAATACAGAGAGAACACGATGCACAGGGCAAAGAGAAAGACTGAAAGAGACAGACAGAGGACAGAAGAAGAAAAAGAAGAAGAAGAAGTGTGTGGAAAGGCTTTTGAAGCAACTCATTTATTAAAGCTTCAACAGCAGACCTTACATTCAAAAGTGTGCAGTCATGTGCAAAAGTTTGGGCACCCCAGATCAAATTATATTTTGTGGATTTTCTTTAAGTCAACTCATCCTCTACAGAGAGCACACCTCTGCACATTTTAATGCACAGCTAAAGTTTATTTGCTGAATTGAGTGTACCGGAAGAAATAAAACATAAAATGTGGTCTGTGCAAAAGTCATGGCACATTTCAAATTTCAGATACTTTCTTTTCAATTGCCAGCCTAGAATTGATGCCCAGCCCTGTATATTACTTTCTCTGGCTGTTGTCAACCATATCCTTTTCGTTGACATGTATCAGTTTCTTTTTTTGTGATACATCTGTACATTTTCCAGTCATTTTATCAGTTCTATAATGATCCAGCTTTTCCCCTGTTTTTACACATTGTTTGCATAAATTATGGCGTTTGTAATGAGCTATGCTATGCAAAGCCTTTTTGTGGCATTAAAGAAATATTCCAGTGTATTTCAACCTAATCTATATCTGTCACATATGTACCATCAATTACCACAGACAATAATTTTAACATGTTTCCCTGTGCTTAGAACAAGACAGAAAACTCACTGACATATACTTGCTTATAAGAGAAGCCACTGGGTTGTTGCTGAATACCTGCTATAAATGTGTGAGTTACCCAACAATAACATTTGAAATTACAACCATTTGATTCAAACATGAGAAAATGTCTTAACAAAGCTGTTCTCATGAAGTTTTAACCAACTTTCAAAAACACTGGAGGAACACATAAAAAAGCAAATCATTTTCCCAGAGGTTTTCTGGTATCTTTGTGCAATCAGGCAGGAGCTTGTGAAAACCCCACCCACACTACTGCACTAGTAATGTATTGCCACAGTTCCTTTTTTCAGAAAACGCCCACCTCTGAAAGAACAAGTACAGCTTTACAAGAATTATTAAGTTCATTGCTGAAAATTGAACAACTATCTGGTGGCATCTTGATATGAGTATGATATCGGTTAGTTTATAATATAATACACAGCATAAAATGTATATTGTGGTCTAAGGCATTCAGAGACACTAAATAATGCAGCTGGATCAATACCTCCACTGTCTTCAGACTTATTCCTGTGAGAGATCTGGATTGCTTGTACTCACACTAATAGAGAAAGAAAGAAGGAGAGAGAGAAAGAAGATATTAGCAGATATCTGGAGAAAACAGAGGACAGAGTAGGTATAAAACAGAAGAGAGGGAGGTGAGAACTGAAAGCTGAAAGATCTGTTGTCTCTGTTACTAGAAGGCCAGATTCTCTCAGGTTCTCTGAGCTAGCAGCTTCTGGGAGATTCCCTCTCTCTATCAGTTCCTGTGACTGTCTCCATATAGTGGGTCATTGAGAATGACCCAGACCATAGCTTGGCTCTGCACACCAGCTTAAAGATGTTGATGTGGAATTTGCGTAGCGTACAACCCGCCCACATGCTTCTCCGCCTGACATTCATTAGGCAAAGCGGTGTTACTGTGAAGTGCTGAGAATCGGAAATAGGGAAATAAAATCTCTTGTGATACTTGAGCAAATAATAAAGATGAGTTTTGGCTTCAAACTTAATTAAATTACCCTTGAGTTCCCCTGACACTGGAGTGGTTGCTATGGTAACAGTGAAAGCCCCTTCAGGTCTTGGAAGCAGCAGAATTGAAATTTTTGAGTGAGCTTATTTCCGAGCTCGTGACTGTGTAAGCGATGAGCGGAAATAAGCCCCTTTGTCCTCATAAAGTGCAAATTCCGGGTTTTAACTTGTGTGAATCTCATTTTGCTCTGCCAGGCCGCTGGTTCAGGGAACCGCGCTCCAGTGGAAAGAGACCACGAAGTGGCGCATGACCCTGCCAGCAGGGGGCAGATGCCTCGCTCTCAGAACAGTGAGCTTCAACCCAACAGCCTTATGTGGACGACTCCAGTGCGGAGAAGAGGGAGCGTTCCACAGTCGTCTTCCTTCACTGATGGCAGTCCTCCTCCCAAACACAGCAGCTCCATATCTTCCATCACTATTACCTCCAGGAAGGTCGTTCGATCCTCCAGCCTGCCAGACACGAGCATTCCTCCTCAGGCTGGAGGGAGGGCACCGAGCCCGATGGCCATAAACAGCCACCAGACAGACCTTGCAAAGTACCCACACAGCCAATACTCAAGACAGGTCACTCCACGGAGAAAAGCTGTGGTGGTCAAAGTTACAGAGCAGAGAGCAGAAAGCAGTAGAGTCCTCCAGGCTTGTGATAAAGACAACCCTGTCGATACTTTCCCCTGTCATCAAACTCCTGGAGAAGGCTCATCATCCTCTAAACTTCCCAAGCGAAGGAGCCCTTCCCCTGCTATCTCTAACCTGACCAGCGTAGAGAACCATACCACGCCGGCCCACGTAAGTGTACCTGCCAGAGATAACTTCCCACCAGGCATTTCTAGTGTGGCCAGCAGAGATTCCTCAGTTCCCTCCACCCTGACCACTCCAGAAACCTATCAGCCAGTGGTGCTCAGGAGAAAAGCCACCATTGTGAAGGTGGAGCACAGAGAGAGCTACAGGAGTGAGGCCAAGGGGAGAGTGGAACATAGGCACAGCTACACCGAAGGCTTCAGAGCCACCCGATCTGTAACATTCACAAGCACTCCATCATATGCTAACACTGAACCATTGCTAACTAATGAACCCAGTCTTGCTGAATCTGCACAGGCAGGGAAGAGTAATGAGAAGGTAAAAGAACTCCATAGATCTACACTATCCTTTCAGCTGAGTAGCCCATCCTCCAATGGACCACCCCTGGATAACTCACACAGCCCTGTGGGTCACAGACCCCGCAGGCCTGCTAGCTGTTACGCTAGTATGTTTATCCCTCCTGAGCCAAGTGCCAATGATTCTAAAGATCCTGGATTTCAGAGCACGAGTTCTGCACTTCCCCAAAAGACAAATATTGACCCTGGGAGCTCCACTGGCAGCAGCTCAAACAGGCGCTGGAGCACCGGCGGAGGGGCATGGAGCCGTGACGAGATTTACCCAGGGAGAGGCAGCTCTGCTGGGGATGTAGGGCAATGGCAGAGAGAGTCTGCTCTCCTGGGGAACCAGCAACCTTTAACTCTTATCAAAGTGCCAGGTAAGAAATCTACCCAGAGTGTGCACACATGGCTGCATACAGACTTAGACCTACCTCATCCATTGTATAGCTCATATCAGCCCCAACAGTTACGCAGAATCAAAGCTTATGCCATGAAAATGCACACTGGTTCTGTTACGAGTGAGCATGCAAACGCTCACACGTGCTCTGTGCTCTCAGGTTGTACGATTCTCATGTTCTCTTTGATGTATAATTGATGTGTATTACAGTGAGTGAGGGAGTGGAGATGAGAGTGAGGTTTTAATTGAAGTTACACACAGCGGATATGTGCATTGCTGCCTTCTTTTCAAATAACAGTGCCCTGAAGCGGATCATTACCACACCTCCTCTCCCTCTGTCTCTCCCTCTTCTCTCTCTCTTTCATTCTCTCATTCTCTCATTTTCTCCTCTTTTCATTTTCCCACGCACCTCTTTGCATGCATAATCTATTGCTAGCCTGATTCCTGCAACGCTGCGGTGCTTCTTGGGGAATTTAGTACTGCGGAAATCACAGGCAACAAACATTGCAGTAGCCAATCGGAACTATACACATACTTTACATGCACATGCTGTACACATAAACATACAAATCAATGTACACATGCACATATACTCTGACGTTCACAAATACAGTGTTGTGTACTTTAATAAAGTGTACTTTATATTAATCATACTGACACCAGTAATAATACTGATTCATGATACTGCTACTTGTATAAAGTACAGATCAGCATTAATGGAGAAGTGATCGTTTCTGACCACATGATTTGATTTGGTTACCATTTTTCACTAAAGTGAGAAAAGTTAGAATTGTATTTTGACCCCAAAAATCTAGAGTGAAGAAACATTCTAAGTAAGATCTTCTCTTCATCTCATTTATCTCTCCTCGACTTGGTTAAGTTCTATTTGTAATCAGACTGAGACTTAAAGGGGAAATCCATTGATTTTTCCAAATTCCTGCATTATTAAATCAATAAGATTTAAGCAGAGTCAGTCAGAGTGGTTTGATGTGAAATGCCCCATTTTCGAGAAACTTACTGAGTCAGTGTTATTCACAGTGGTGGTGATAGGAACCAGACATCTGAAGAGTTTAATGCCTCTGAAAGCTCCCTTACAGGAAGTTATTACACGACTGATCATGAATACACAGCCTGATGTCTGTGACATTGTTTTACAATAGTTTGCAGATAAGATTTTGGCACAAAATGTAAATTTTAAAATCCATTTGTGTTAGAGAAGTACATGCAGGGCATTGTAAAGCAAACTAGTATCCAAAGAAAACAATTTTTTTCTGATTGGCCATTATTTTACCAATCTCAACACTATATATAAAAACCTAGAAGACATGTGTAGACCCACCGGTTATTTTGGACTGTAAAAACATTTAGATTTATGGCATTTTGGCAGACGCTCTTATCCAGAGCAATTTACAATTTGATCATTTTACACAGGCAGGCAAAGGCAATGTTAGGAGTCTTGCCCAATCATGAATTACTTTGTTTACATCTCAGAAAACGTTCAGCAAGCTAACACTGTAGAAGGATAACTTATTGGGGAGTGGGTTAGGAGAAAGAGGTCAGAAATCAGTAATTCTTTATTAATACAACATCGCTATAACACCTGCTTTACCTCTCTTAAAACAAAGAAAAGTTGATCTTAAGAAAGATTTTCTTTTGAGTATATACTTTCTTGCATATTAAATTATAAGCCTTATTCACCAATATCTTCCTAAGTTTTTTTTCCTAAATTTGTTCTTGATAAAGAACTTAAGAAAAAGTCTATGTCAGGTTCATGACATGTTCTTAAACTGCAGAACCGCTCACACCTTTGTGTTCTTAAGTGGGTGTAGATTTTGTTTTTATTTAAGAACAAATCCAAAATAAGCAAACACTGATGAATGTCAGAATTTGTGAAAACTGCACAAGTGGGTTTTAAGAAGAAATTTCTTCTAATGAATGGTCGGTGAATGTGGCCCGATATTTGATTCTAACATTTACCTTCACCACCTTCAGATCAATGTCTTTTTACACCCCTATTGCTGACAGCACCTCATTGTCAACCGTGGGTTCTTGTTTCAGAAAGCTCAGCTGATGCCACCCGTAATGCTGTAGTGGCTCTGAACGCAGCTGCAGTTATAGCCAATATAAAGTGGCAGAGCCAGCAGAGAAAGAGAGCGCAGTCCCACAGCAGCACCAAGGGAGACATAGACCCATTATCTCAGCGCAAAACTGCAGGTAACTGCACATTTCCTCCTCTCCACTGTCCTCGTTTTGGTCTATTTTCTCTTGATCTGTTGTCACAAAATGTTAAATACCTTTAACGTAAACATGTGATTATGCATTTTATGCGGCTATTGTTGGCAACTGAGGCCTATTCATAAACTGAATATGGAAAGAAGGTACAGTGTATTACTTTAGCACTAAAGAAAGATCATCATGCAACCTATTCTATGAAGTGATAATATTTAGACAGATGTAAACACACCCACTTATGTACAAGATGCTATTAACAACATAAGAACAAGAACATTGCTATCGTTGTCGCCGCATCGTGCCTACATGCTGTTCTGAACTGGCAAAGTTACTAAGAGACTACGATGGCTCATTCAGTGCTGAACAGATGTAGATCTGAAATGGAAAAGCTTTTAATCTATTAGCATGCACATGACTTACATTAATGGTATTTAATTAATTAATTCTTCTGTAGTTAAGGTTAATTATTTAACTGACCTTTAGATGTTAATTCAAGTTTAATGAGCGTGAAAGTAGGATTAAGTAGGTGTAAGTAGAACATGTCATTAAGAGATACAGGTGAGTGCAGATTCCTCTACTTGTGTTGCCGTTAAGACTTGTATATAAATTTATGGCTTGTGACTTATTTATAAGGGCTGCGCTGGGGAGATTTAAGAGTGAGGCTTGAAAGACACTGGCTAAAAAATGGCCTGGACAATGAGTGTCCTTTTGCTCTGTCCATGTCATGAGAGAGATAACAAATGTGCATAATGTTGGTAATAACAATGTTCCATTAGCTCAGACAGTTCAAGAGGTTATTGTTAGCCCAGCTGATGCACTGACGAAAAATAATGCATTGAATTTACTTCATTCAAATTTGTGCATGATTTACACATGAATTAAATATAATGCATCAACACCAATATTGCAGAAAGAATATATTGTCGCAGTTGGAACAAAACCCTTCCAAAATGGAAACTTTTCAGGAGAAGAAATAATGTTTTTAACCTTTAATGAGATTTAATGGAACCAGATGTTTTTCTAAGCAGTTTTAAACCATTTCTGTTGGTCCATTCATGGTGATTTTTTCACACAATCTAAAGTGCAGTTCAAGTTTTCATATTATGTCAAAAAATGGAAAAATTACAAAAATAGAGATACAAGGGATATAAGGGAACATAATGCCCCTGTAATATTCTTATTAAGTCTTGTAAAGTGAGTAGCTGATGACTAACTAACTGCTTATTACTATTCTATTAAGCAATAACTAGAGTAAATCAAAAAAAATTCCAGAGCAATTTTATTTTTGTATTATACATCATAATCTTGTGCATGATATTTTAGGTGTATATTATTAATAATCCTTATCACACCAATGTCTTGCAACTGACTTATCAAGCCAATAACTGCTTATTTAATGTCTGCTTGTTACTACTTTATTAAGCAATAATAAGAGTGGATGAAACATTTTCAAGAGTGCTTCTTTTTGTGTAATGTACATCATTATATTGTGCCCAACCATTATCTGAGCATTTATCCTATGGAATATGCTCATTAATGAACTTGTAATTAGATACCTAATTAGTTACAAAGCATCTCATCTTATTTTCTTCTTTTTACAGGATTACTTTGGTATTTTTTATCCATATTAATATCACAATAGATCAATAGTTTAATAACTCAATCACTAATTGACTGTATGGCTCAGATTTCTAGTTAACATTTATACCTAAGAAGGTGTTAATTCACCCTAGTTTCTGCGTAATAAAGTAATAATTACATGACAGTTACTTACCAGCTACTGGCTTAATCAGAGTATTACAAGTGTTCTGGAAAATGCTTAATTCAGCCATTATTGTTTAACAAATTAGTGACGAGCAGCCAGTCAATTACCAGCCACTGCTTTGTTAAGGCTTAACAAGAGCCTTATAAAGGCATTATAATGCCTCTGAAGTGCTACATAAATATGTCATTTATGTAGGAATGATGTATAGGTTTGAATTGAGTAAATTCAGTGCATTACTTTTGTCAGTGTGGATACTGCCGCTGACCCTAACCCAAGCTGTTTGAGACAGACTGTCCTTAGATTTGTCTAATGAAGTATATTCATATGTGTGATCTCACATCAGAGCGAGATGGAGGTGATAAAGTGTGTAATGGTGAGCAGGGTCCAGAAGTGGACCTCTCTGTGGAGAGTAAGACAGCAGCGTGTGTGAAGCACTGGCACGCAGAGTTTGTCCCGTTGCAGACCACAGACAAGTCTCCATCAAACACAGACACACTCAGTGTAAGTCGAGCTCTGACTTTGGCTGTGAAATGAGATGAAAGTAGTAAGTTTGTATGTCGTACATTTATGTACACTTATATTTATACGTATATCTCAGTTCAGCAATGCAAATATACAAACACTGTAAATGTACTGTCAAAGGTACCGAAGTGATCTTAAGGTCAAATTGCTTGCCATAATTGAGTTTTAAAGGTACACTACATACACTTTCCCAGCAAAAAGGGGCATATTTATACATTTTCATAACCTAAAAAAACAGAAAAACTGAGTCAGTGCAACTTGAAAAATATAATTTGTATAATATAATCTGTTAAGAGTATATTAATCATCTATTTAGGACCACTCCAAATAAAGCCTCAACATAATCTGTCACAACAACTTGACATTTGCCATTACACATCATAATAATGTCAGTCATGGTTCAGGTAAAGTGTTACCTTGTTGTTGTTCTTGTTATTATTATTATTATTATTATTATTACAGTATTGACAGCAAGCACTTGCATACACACTATGTGTGTGTCTCTGCAGAAGGCTCTAGAGCAGCGACGGCCAGACTTCATCAGACACTCACAGGCCAGAGTTCAGGCTCTGCAGAAACGAGCGCGAGAGAGGCGACAACTACACTCACACACACCAACACAAACAACTATGCAGAGACAGAGAGGTGAGCAACAAACACACACACACACACACACACAGTTTATCAGTGCTTTTATAGCCTTTGATATTTAAACTGTTGCAGTGTTGGGGGGTGTGCACTATCAGAGGTGTGTGAAATGCTACACAGGATGGTGAGCAGTACGTGAAGGTGAAATCTCTGAACCTGTTGATAACATCTAGGATGCTATGACACAGGAGTGTTCGCCCTCTGCTGGACAGAAGTGGCAAATACAGAAAAGAGGCCTCATCAGTGTTCAATATCGACATAGAAACATTATTATATATTATATTATTATCGGCATAAATCATTCTTCAGGGAACAGCAGATCTCACACCTTAGAAACAGTGAACTACACTGCTCTGAAATCAAACTGGATTTTAAGCTATCTTCATACTAGAAGTTAGCCTTTTTGTTGATTTGTGGGTCAGTCCTGAGACTGAAGAGTGAGTGGATCAGGATTTCTCTCTTTAAATTTAATTTCTTCTCTTTGCGTTTATATTTTAGAGAAATATGATCAACATAATCTGGGAATTACATTAGATAGTCTATCTTCTCTTCTCTGCTTCTTCGAGAAGATTTGGAGGACCTAGTTTGCTAATGCTTGAATGAATGCAGTATCTGTTTTGCAGATAACATTTTCAAATCCCAGGACAGAAGCATCTCAGGGAAAAAACAACAGCAACAGCAGTTCAGACAGTAAGTTTTAATCTTAGCTGTATTAGACTATCTCTCTCTCTCTCTCTCTCTCTCTCTCTCTCTCTCTCTCTCTCTCTGTCTCTTTTCGACTCTTTCTCTCTCCATTTATTCTCTATTTATTTTTCGTTTATTTTTCAGTCATTATCTCTCCATCACCTTCCTCTCTTTTTTACTTTCTTACTAAATCTCTCACTATAACTTTCTTGATCTCTTTTCCCCTCTTTCTCTCTTTCTTTTTCACACCTTCTCTCTTCTTTCTCCCTTCTTTCCCTGTCTCACTTCTACTCTCTCTTTCTTGATCTCTTCATTTCTCTCTCTCTTTCTTGATCTCTCTTGGTTTCTCTCTCTTACTCTGTCTCTAACTCCTATTCTTTCTCTTTCTTGATCTCTCTCTTTCTCTGTCTCTCACACCTATTCTCTTTCTTTTTTGATCTGTCTTCATTTCAGTCTCTTACTCCATCTCTGTCTATTTCTTGATCTCTCTTCATTTCTCTCTTTTTCACTCTCTGTTTCTTGATCTCTCTCCATTTATCTCTCTTGTTCTTTTTCTTACACCATCTCTCATTCCAGCTCTCCCTTTTGATCTCTTTCCCTCTCTTTTTCTCTCTCCTTCGTTGTCTCTCACTCTTACCTTCTCAGTCACTCTCTCTTTTTCCCTCGATCTCTCACTCTTACTCTCTTACTCTCTCTCTCTCTTTCTTACTCTTTCTCCATTTCTTCCTCTCTCTCTTTTCGGTTTCACTCCTTCTCTCTCTACTCTATCTCTCACTCTTTCTTTGTCTCCATTTTTTCAATCTCATTTTTCTTTTTCACTCATTCTATCTCCATTTCTCCCTCTCCTTCTCTCTCTTGCTTTCTCTTTCTTACTCGATCTCACTCTTATTCTTTCTTGAACCCCCCACCTTTCTCTCACTCTCATCCTCTATATTTTCTCATAGCCCTAAAGTCTCTCTCTCTCTCTCTCTCTCTCTCACTTGCATCTGTCTGCACTTCATTTTGAGTGTGTATCGTTTCTATCTATGCTGAAGGTGAGCGTGGTGTTTGGGGTCTGCAGGGCTTTGCTTTAATTGTGTTTTCCCTCCGTCTGCTTGTTTCCATGCCGCTGAATAAAAACTCATCTGATCACTCTGTGTGATTATGCTTCAGGCTGAATTTAGAGATAGAAAGCCTCTAGCGAATGATCCTGCCTGATATTGATTGAGGGAGTTGAATGGACCAGTTTGGCACTTCTATTGACTGGCTGCAGCTATCAGCTGTGCTGTCGGACTGATAAAGCAAGTCTCAGTGTCTGAGAAGTTCCAAATGCCCTCCAATCTCTCTCTATTGTTAGACTCGGTGAACATAATATATGTGGTAGAGAAACTATTCAATTCAGACTGTTGATAAGGTGTTGAATTTTCATCTGTTCCAAGCTTTTTCTAGTGATGGATCAACATCGTATCAGTGTGTCTGTCAGATTTACTCTGTGGAGATTCAGTCTCTAACTGAGCTGACTGAGTGTGTGAGGATGTAAATAATAGCTCTTATGTTCTTTCAATATGATTTACGCTCACTACTGTGAAGTTTCACTATGAAATATATACCACTGTGATATGTCACTAAAGTATACACTCACTACTGTGAAATTTCACTGATATACTCTCATCACTTATTTTTCTAAGATATAAACTCACTACTGTGATATTTCACTATGATACACACTCACTACTGTAATATTTCACTATGGATCATTTTAGCAAATTGGCTCAAACTCATATTTCAGATTTTCACTTGACTTGTACTTTGGACTAAAATTCTTTTGCTTTGAGTGACCTTAATACCATAATTATGTTTATTTTTTAAACAAATGATTGATATGTTTCAGTAATGACAATTTTTACTAATTTTAAGCATCCTTTAAAAAAAGCTAGCCAGTACAGGACTAGCAAACAGCTTTGAACGGTTGTACACACATTTGCCCTCATTCACAGAAATATTTTTTTCTTAAACTTGTTTTTGAGAAAGGTCCTAAGAAAAACCCTTAAAGCGCAGAATTGTTTGCACCTTTGTGCCCTGGAGTGTGTATAGATTCTGTTCTTACCTAAGAAGACATTGATGAACGTCAGAATCTTCATAAAAAAAGTCCGTAAGTGGGTTTTAAGAAGAAATGTCTTCTTGAGAACAGTTGGTGAATGGGGCCTATTGATTTTCAGACTTTGGGACACATTTAGCTCAAGACAAAGAGATCTAAGTGCTCACCAGGGACAGGGATGCAAGTCTTCATTTCCTGCTCTAAAATGCAGGGGTGTGGCTAAAATAAGGCTCTGCCTGTGGACTATGTGTTTTGGTAGTGACATGAAACAGTGAGACAGCCAAAGTTTTTTATTTATACATTAAACTCACGATAATCGAGTCTTTCGACTTCATTTTAAAAGAAGTCAAAAAGATCTTTTAAAAAACAACAGTGAAAACAAAAAATGAAAGAATGATTCAAATGATTTTGTATATATTTACTTATTACTATCTCAATTAATGCTTTGGGTTTCAATAGATCGTAATAAAATTATTGGTGTAACATAACATGTTTGTTATTAATATTCGATTCAGAGGGCTGTGATGCGATTATAAAACGATTATCGATGCATATTGATGCATCATTTTTTTCTATACAGGATTTCTATTTTCTCACTGTCTGAGGACTTGGTAGTTTTGAAACAAAGTATTTGTAATGATCCATAATGAATTGTACTTCCAATATCTTTTATTAATAAATCAAATGGAAGTGATGTGGTAAGTGAACTAGAAGGCTCTCATTCACGGCTCTTGTTTGGAGCACGAGAAGCTGCTGCCACTCATCTGCGATAAAATGCACAGTTACAGTGAAATAAGATCCAGTGGTAATGGATGTCCACGCAGCGCGTTACAGCCGTCCTGCCGTTTTCTTTAGTGATTTTATAACTTAGGTTTTTACATGTCAGTGCCACTGCTTGGTTGAAAGCGGTCTACTACCCAAAAATAATGTCCAAAAGCAGCTCTTTGGTCAGAAACGGACAGTTTATGAAGGGCTAGAAGATGACTTACACAAAATGCATCAATAGATAGGCTATAGTCTTTAACTGTGCATTGGCAAGGTTGAGCTACACAGCAGGGGTTTCTGGTAAAGTGGCCAATGAGTGTACAAAAGACCAAGTATTAAATCAGGTCTGAAAGTCATAATGATAACTTTATACTCATTTGTGTCTATTGAATGACAGGAATTACAGCCACCTGCCGGAAGTGAAGAGGAGGAAAGAGGAGGAGAGGAGAAAGTTAGCATCTCAGACCAACAGATTGAGGGCCGAGCTCTTTAAAAAGGTATAAGTGCCCATTTAGCCCCTACACACACAAACACTGAGCTCTCTGCTACTGCTATTTGTTGGTAGCATTAACTGGTTGGACAAATTGGATAAAAGTTCAGAATTTCTGAATGTTTCTTCTGAAATTAAAAGAACTGAGAGGCAGTTTGTCCCTCTTTGCTGCAGTAACAGCCTGCACTGTTGGCTGTTACTGCAGCAAAGAGGGACAAACTCCCTCTTAATTCTTTTGATTTCAGAAGAAATGTTCAGAAATGCTGAACTTTTCTCTTCTGGAAAGGCTTTACACTAGATATTGGAACTTTGCTATGAGGATTTGATTGCATTCAGCCATGAGATAATTAGTGAGTGAGGTACTGATGTTAGATAATCAGTTCTGGATCACAAATTCCACTCAAACCTATCCCAAAGGTGTTGGATGGCACTCCATTCTTACAGAGAATGCAGTTCAGCTGCTCCACAGCCCAATGCTGCGGAGCTTTATACTCACTAGACATCATTTGACACTGGACATGGTGACCTTAGGTACATGTGTGTCTGCTCCAGAGCAACCTATTCTGCTGGCATTTCTTTTCTATGGAGATTAATCAAGCTTTGTGCATCAGCAGTGCATCTGAAAGTAGCTGAACTGACTACTTAGTAGGGCTGTCTACAAACCTTTGGACATAATATATTTATAATTCTAGAGACACTGCTCTGTCAGGATCCAGGATCTGGTCTGGAGCAGGTGCTGCTGTTCTGAAAATCAATGCTAGTTCATGTTTTTATGATAGCTAAGAAGTATTTTTCATCACCAAGTTCACCTTTTTAAAACCTTTCACACCCCATCTCTGCAGAAACATGCAGCTCAGCACATCAGTTCATTTCAGAACCTAAATGCTCTACTGCTATAAAAGTGTTGCAGAAACATCTCAACATAAATTCAGTCCATCAAAACATCAACACTGGAGTCCCTATAACACACTCTCAGGTATGAAAAAAGGTATGAAACTGTCGCTGGGCTGGTATCCTCAAGGGTACATCTCAGTACCTTTAGTCAGGGAACAAAATTGTTCCATAATCCATTGAATTATATTTTCTAAGTTGTATTGACGCCACACACCCCGTCTCGTCTCCAGATACAAATAACTACTAATTTATGTAGATCTATAAAGTACAGCATCTGGTTTATAGTTTTGTTTTGTATTGTAATTGTTTTGTTTTCTTTGGCTGATCATGTAAGCACTGCAGAAGAGATAAAGTGCAGCAGTTGTTTTGAAGTGTTTTTTAGGTCTGAAGTGATGAAAAATATTGATTTTGTTCATTGAAACAAACATTTTGCTTTGAATATTTTCATTGCAACATTCTTGTTACAGTGAAAGAAAAAAACTCATTATATCAGAAAGACGTTACGAAACAGAGTGATATATAGTTCTAGATATGCCATTTGTTTTCATGTTAGGTTCTTGAGTTCATTATAACAGTTTTTTTAACAGTGTACCCAAGCATACAAGCACGTTTATGGTTTAATCCAAACAGTGTTTTGTGTTTCTAACTGAAAAAGAGGACTCAGCACTGAAAATGCCTGTGTTTTGGAATCAAATGACATTCGCTCCAAATGTGCATAATAATGTGGTGGTTTCCTTGGAAGTCTTCTTATTTTTGGTGTGCTTGCTCCCAGATGTGTGCTTTTCTGTTCCATAAACTCTTAATGCATTGTTCTAACCCTAATCATATTGGGTCAGGACATGTGTACATGAGCAGTAATGGTAGAAAGCCCTTTGTCCTACATGCTCCATTACTCTCTGTAAAGCAGCCTGCTCTGCTCTCGCTCCAAAGCTGCTGGAGAAAGGCTTGGTGTTAGCTGCTTTGGGATTTGTGGTGAGGGCTCAGTGGCTTTGTACGGCCTGCACACTTTTCGGGTTAATTGAAACTTTTAGAGTTTTAATTTAAAGGGAATGTGTGAAGGAGTTTGAACAAAGTGTGTGTGTGTGTGTGTGTGTGTGTGTGTGCATATGTGCATTTTTGAGAGCGGTGTTCGTGTGCACCGATATGACCATTCAAAAAAAAGCAAAGATACTTTCTGTAGATAGACAAAGCACTTTTTGTGGTCTGCTAAATGTTGTAGATGTAAAATGTAAAAATTTGGAATCACTGGTCTTATTAACCATTTTTAATGAGATATAATAACATATACAATGTAGATTTAAACGTTATGAATTATTCATCAAAATTATTTTTAGATGTTTTCACGAATTCTGTCAACAGAGAAGTTGTTGAGTAATTAATAATATACTGTAGCCATCTGTGTCTGCCCTGTGATGGACTGGCAACCTGCCCAAGGTGTATTCTGCCTTCCACCCAATGACTGCTGGGATGGGCTCCAGCACCCTCTGCAACCCAGAAGGATCAGCGGTTTACGCAATGTACCACCCATTCCACAGTACATCACTGCATTAAGCAATTCTGAAGCTGTAGTGACAGGAATTGTCCACTAGATGTCTGTATTCATCAGCCTTTCAATGAACAACGAGGCGCATAACTGCTGAATCCACGTATAGTGGGCGTACAGGTAATGGACTATGGTCATAGTATGGTTACGTTATGCATGTCAGTATAATTATGATCACTGAAATTCATGCAATTCTTTTATTCCCAAATATAATACTTAGATGAGCTGTGTATGAATGTGAATAACAACATTTTTCTGTGTTCTGTTTTCCTCTGTTTAGTGAATGTTCTGCACTGATGCTCATGGATGTTATCCATGCTAGTTTGTCTGGTTGTGTGTGTGATGGGTTTTGAGCAATGAGGGCACATGTTCTTATTGGCTACGTGCTGCAGTGTTGAACAGCCTCATTGTGTCTATAATCCAGTGTTCACTGGGAGTAAACAAACAGCAGTGAACAAACAACTGCTAGTGCCAAAAGACTTGAGCATTATGGTCGAATATTACAGTGACATCCAACACAAGTATGTTTATAAGCTGGTACTCTCTAAGTCCGTCTGTCTGTCTGTCTGTCTGTCTGTCTCTCTCTCTCTCTCTCTCTCTCTCTCTCTCTCTCTCTCTCTCTCACTGCTTAGATTTCTGTTCTAATGATTATCTTCTCATCACCAAGCAGAGAACAGCCACCCAAACACTCTGTCACTGAAATCACATTATACAGTCATGATGCATGAAAATATAACATTTTTACTGGTAACCCTTTCATACACTGTAAAGTACTTGTCTGTTATGTTTAATCCATTTCCAACAGTCAACATTGAACTGATCATGATGTAAAAGGGACACTAGAATCAGAATCACTTCAACAGCCAAGATGCACTTGTATTAAACTGAAAATACAGGATACAAATGCAAACAATAATACAAATAATAATACATAGAAACCTATTCACATCACAAACTAGACACTACCTACACTACATTTTATACAGAATAAATACTAAATGTACGAGATATTTACAGTCTTATGCAAATGTTTGGGCACCCCACTCGAATTACATGTTTTATTAATTTTCTAAGTGAAAATAAGTTAACACAGAGAACACACTTCAGCACATTAAAGTGCACGGCTACTATTTATTTGCTGAATTGGATATTTCAGAGGAAAATAAAAGCTTGAGTACACACCTCATTTTATGCTTCATTTGTTTCCAATACTGTTGGGACAAGATTTTCTCCATTTTATTATTTTTTATTGTTTAATGATTTGAACAAGTAGAAATGGTCCAACGTTTTTACAAAGTTTTTGCATTAATATACACTGACAGTTATGAAGGTTATTTCCTCTTATTAAGTTACCATTTTTGAGATTTAGTCCTGACAGCAATGATACGTTAAATACAGGAAACAAATAGAAATTGTGCACTCATTTTTCAAAAATATGCCACATTTGAGTTTGTTCCCTACAGAACCCTGCTGGTGACATCCTGTAGAAATAAAAAATAACGTGTGGCCATGACTTAGTAAGGCATAGGAACAAGATCATGCCTTATTAAGCTGTGATCAAGGCTTAATTATCTCACTCCCACACCTTGCTAAGTCGTGGCCATACATTATTTTTATTTATACGTGATGTCACCAGTAGGGCTCCGTAGTTCCCTGTAGACATCAACAAAAAATTCCATTTGGCCATAGGTGCCCATACTTGTCCATTCGGCTCTCAGTGAACAGGGACAAATCTACAAGGACTTTGCAAAATTTTGCAGAACATGATCTGACAATCTGGAGATTCACATTAATGTGAGAAAACGAGCAGACTCAGCATCCACAGGTGTTGCTGAGAAACTGGATAAGACTGCATTCACCATTCATATCAAATTTACAAACTCAGCCTGAGCAGATTGAGAACACATCTTCACCACAAGGGGCACCATAAAGAATCTCCCATTAAAAATTCTAAGAGAAGTTTCACTGAGCATCTGTTTCCTCCATATCGAGCGTGTTTCAGTGTGCATGGTTATTGCACTCTAATGTACAGTATGTGACACATGATCCGGGCTATCTGTTACTATCTGTAACCTTGTTTTTCTTGCAGAAAATTCTGGAGCAGGTTCTTCACAGAGGAAAAGACTGAAGCATGAGTGAGAGGGTGATGATCCCTTCTTTCTACTGTCTGTCCATCCTGTACCAGCCCAGTGAAGCGCTGCCAAAACTCGTCCTCTCTCAGTGCATCAGACAGTGAACAATGTTCTCATAAGCACTGACGATAGCACAGCAGATCCTCTCTTACAACTTCTCCACTGACTCATTCATCAGTTCCTATTGACATGTAGATTAACCGTGCTAGATGTACTTTATGAGGACTTGTGATCGCATCATTTGTCATGAGAATCAGCTGCAGTAGAATTCTCAGAGCAGTCTGCAAGCTGTCATGTAAAATCAGTTATTGTTTATTATTTAAACCTAGTAAGATGAATATATGGGTGTGGAGGAGTTGTTCTTTGATTGACATGCTCTGTATTCTGCTGTGAGATTCAGATTAATCACTAGTCGGGCCACATCATCCTAAAATGACTCTGTTTAATTTAGCACTGGGGCTATAAGGCTAACATTGCTTGCAAACACCAGAAGTCAATAATCACCCAAATCTTTTCTGTAAATATTTTCCCAAAACATCTTTGAATCCACTCAAATCCAGGTCTTCAGTGTGAAAATTGAAAAATAACAGCTATTAATAAAAAGGAAACAACAGAGATTGCAAATGTAATCAGTAGTGTCAACATGATGGGCGTGTATGCGAAGGGGAGGTCAGAATTTGGCACAGCACATTGTTGTCTAAAACAGCTGCCCACAGCATCCACAGCAAATCATACTGTGTCCTTTACCACATCAACAAGTCTGTGCAACCTTAATGAAGACCTGGACGTGGTTTGAGTGGGTCAGGAGCTTTTTTGGGGATGTATTTAGAGAAACATTTTTGGTGATTATTGACTTCTAGTGTTTATTAGCAATGTTAGCCTCACAGCTGCAGTGTTAAACTAAAGAAGCAAAATTTGAACAGTAAGTAGAAAAAATGGTGTTTCACTGAACCAGTCCTTTAAAACAACAGTACTTTTGAGTGTTGCAGTTAATAATGTACAAGACATTGCATAAAATATTTTGCCTTAAAACTGAGCTTTTTAAAATCCTTGAATCCACTTTTTTTTTGTTTTTACAAATACTAGCCAACATCTGAAAGCTTATGATGTATTTATGCTCTCTACATCAAACAGGATGAGTTCTCTCATGGCCTTGAATGGCCTATAGTTCTGTAGAATATGTATATTCAAAGAGCATTAAAAGAATTCTTCTCATAACAAATCTGCTGGAGTCGTTATATGAATGACCAACACTGACACTTATCATTGTAGCCCTTCCTGTTGTTTGGTCATGATACTGGAATACTCTGCGTTATTGTCCTTGTGGAGAGAATGAGCCTCATTCACCAACCGTTCTCAAGAAGAAATTTCTTCCTAAAACCCACTTACATTCACCAATGTTCTTTTATTTGGGATATGTTTTTAGGTAAGAACAGAGTACACACACACTCAAGAGCACAAAGGTGCGAACAGTTTTGCAGTTCAAAAACACATTATGAATCTGACGTAGATTTTTTCTTGGGAGCTTTTTCAAGAGCAAATTTAGGAAAAAACTGAAAGAGGCCCAAAGCTCTTAAGTGTCAAATTGCTACCTGACGTTCTTTCTTCCTATTGCAAATGTAGAGGAATGGTAGAATTCAGCTAATGTAAGTTAAATCACAGCCATTTGCTGCTTATCTATTACTCCAGACTTTATTTTTTGTATTAAGTAGGTAGTGAGTGTTGACTACATATGTCTGCTAGGACTGAAGAATATTGCTGTCCTCCTGAGGCAGAAAAAATATGGCAAGCGCGTAAGTGCATTACTTGGCTATTATGAACAGTGAAGAGATTCTCCTTGGGGCAAAAGACCACTATGTTTTCAAACATGATCCCATGCCACAGTGCCAGATGAGCCAGATGAGCAGTCTCATGATCTTCCATGGCAGACAGAGCTGCTCCAGGATGGAATGGTAGAAAAGCGGTGCACACTGGAAAATCAGGATGTTCTAAATGTGTACATTTGCTGAACTGTCCCAGTATAGCGTATCATTTCATTGTACATTTGGCCATTGATCAAAAAGCATATATGGAGTTGTATGTAAAAGTTTGAGCACCCACGGGCACATGATGTGTTGTTGATTGTCTAAGTGAAAAGAAGTTAACATGTCCTCTACAGGGAATTAACTTAAATATGACAATTTTTACACATACATTCTATTTATTTAGTGAGTTTAACATATCAGACATATTTTTCCCTGAAATGTTAAATTGAGCAAATAAACAGTATTTGTACATTAACATATGCAGAAGTGTGTTCTCTGTAGAAGTTGTGTTAGTTTATTTTGACTTAGATAACCAATAAACATGTCATTTGACCAGGGGCACCAAAATTTTCCATACCAATGCTAATACACAACTATCTACTAAATGTTGCCATTTGTAATAGGAAAAGTATTCTGATGAATTTATTTATGAAGTCATTATATATTTTATTAAACAAAGATTATTTTTGTCTACTGTGAAGGGTTCCATATTGAACATGTAAATTATTATTATTATTATAATTGTTATGCTAAATTATACCTTAAAGCTCTGTTTGATTGGCTCCTAACCATCATACGCATATGGAGAGGAATTTGTGCCAAACTGAAACACAATCACTACAGTGGAAAAACTGAAATGTAATGCACACATGACAATACTTTTCCTTAGTGACATGCAGAATACCTGCCAAAATGAAAGGCAAAACATCTATTGCATTGTTTTCACATCGCTTGACCTCTTTTTTGTATTTCAAATATACTTGCCTCATTGAAATGCAACCAAAATAGTGAAACAAATGCACACACTAGATTGTATTTAAACAGTAACATGCGGAAAATGTGCTAAAATTGAAAGTAAAATATATATTATATTGATTAAACACTGTTTGAAGTACTGCACAGTGGAAAGCAATATAGCAGTGCCTTTGTGACATTTCAAGGTGGATTGCATTCAATTATAACATGAACTCAGCATTTCATTTTTAAAATGTGAATCCTTATGAATCGCTTTTCAGTAAAGAGGTCAAGCAACGTGAGAACAAAGTGATTTGTTTTTCATTTTGGCACATATTCTGCATGACACTATGGAAAAGTATTGTCATGTATGCTTTGCATTACACATTTCCCACTGATTGCTCTTCAATTTACATCACAGTACATCACATTGCTAATGGACAATTGTTCTGCTCAGTTTCACTCGTTGTAACAGGCAAAAGCAGGTTATTCTACAGAAGGTTTGGTCTAAAGGTCATTTTGGTCTCCTGTGAAAGGCTCCATGTGGCATGTGTAAATTTGATTTTTTGCTGAACTGTATTTTTAGGGGTCATTTCATTCTAACATACTTTTATGCTAAATGTCACTACTTGTAATAGCAAGAGCCTAATATTCTAAAAAAGTTGAAGATCCTTTTCATCTCCAGTCAGGAGTTCCATGTTCCATAACTCTTTCTGAAACATCATTATCTTCTCTCTGTCCAGAAGTCCAGAATTGGAGTTCTGTGAATAGAAATGCCTCACTAATGGGACACTGGATACAGGCGCAGAGAAAGGGGCCATTGTCCGTGAGCTGTTAGAGAGGAGAGATGAGTGCCCAGGGCTCCATGTGCCACCATGTGCTCAGCTGGGCTGTACCCATTCAATACTCTCTCATGCTTTGAATGCATGTAGTTGGGCAAATCTGTGCAGTACTGTTTTATTTCAATACACATATTTATATCTGCTGGTACCAAATCTGTGAAAATACTCATATTTTCTGTGTTTAGTACATAGTGTAGATGATGAGTCTTAGCTGCGGGTGCATGATGGGAAGACATGTAAATGCTTTACGTTCTCCATGAGCTGTGTTTGTTTCCCAGCACTTCTGTGCCACAAGGCCTGAGAATTGTGCAATCTATGAGTTTCAGAAAGATGTTTCCTGCTAAATGTAGGATTTTTTCTTTTACCACAGATCTTAGGACACACTGTCGCCTTTTTGGGCCAACTAATTTTAGAGCCGGCTCTTACCATTGTGAAAAAAATATTAATATATTTTTCACAAGAGGCCTGTCTTATTCTCACAACAAAGTGTTGTGGATTCTGGCTTTGACACATTGATGAATATGACAGAGCCCTAAAAAAAAACATGACAAAGTAGCTGAAAATGGAATAAATTTGAGGAGGCCGCGCTGGGTTTTCCACATGAGAAGCGCTGTTGGACGAAGATAAAGAAGTGTTGTGAAATATCTCAGGATGTTGATTCCTTGCGTTAGCATCGGGCAGCACAAAGTGAACTCATAAATTGAAAATTTCTCACAGACTGCAGCTGCTGTACACAAGGCAGATTCAGAAACTCTTCAACATGACGTGCTGGCTGCTCTCAAATGTTCATGAGAAAGGAGAAACCTTGTAGGCTGTAACAGTCTGTTCTATGTGTTTCGCCTGAACAAACTTTTGGGATGTCAGAAGAGTCTGTAGTTGAATATGAATCTCCCAGACTGCATGTTGACCTACTTCACATTTTCCAAATCAGTATCTGACTGTGAAGTACTGTCAGACACTGATGAACTTCGGTGTATTAAGTAATCCTGAAAGGAAAGATAATACACCCTGTAGGAATAGCTTGTGTGTTCAGGTAATATCACTTGGCCTTTACTTTTCACAGTAGCCAAAAAACACAGTTTTGTTGAACTACGACTTTTTTTCTTCAAAAACACTGATAAAATATATTTTGATGGAATTGTGTGTTATATGCAGAACTGGAAGCAACATTTTCATGTTTGTAGGTAAGCAAGGAAGTCAACAGTTATAAAGTGGATAACACTTTATTTTGCGTGGTCCTTTGTAGATATTTATTGAAGTCTTAACATGAGTGACACATCAACACCATATCAGTGAAGTTACAGTAGTGAAGCATCTGAATATATTGTGGTAAATATCTTGTAGATGTTCTGTTGAGACGTTGCTTACATTAAGTAGATGTGTTGTTAATATGTTACTTCCATTACGCAAAACCCAACCTTACCCAAAACCTAACCCTAACCTTAACCTCAACCCAAAACCTAATCCTAACCCTCACCCTGGCCCTAATCCTAACCCTAACCTTAACC